ATATGGGCTTTGTATTTTTTACATAAATATTTATTATATGGGACAATCCATCTGTTATCAATTGAAACATCATTTTTAAGGAAGGTGTGACCATTGTTTGGCCTAAAATGTTCTAGGTACCCATCCACACAATATATAGTTCTGTCATTGAAGTTTTTGGGATAGTTTTTGGAACATTTTTTGTTTTCCATACATGGACTTTGAGGATTTAGTAATCCACATGGACCATGTATCATATATGATATGATTATTTCAAATAGTTCGGGCTCTGATAAAGGATTAGGTACATATTGGTCAATAGTGTCACGGTCTTTAATTTTACTTTCATTATCTAATATGCCTAGGAAATGACAATGTGGCAAACCTCTTTTTTGGAACTCAATGACATATATAAATGCAATACATCTTCCAAAGATATTATTTTGTGTAATATCATGGAGAAACTATTTTAGCTTCATGTTAAAAACCTTAGCAACTAAATCAGGTCGGTCTTTAGGTCCTTCATTAGGGTGTAGATTTTGTAATATCTCAGGCCATTTAAGGTTGCAAGTGAAAGTTATGAAAATATCAAGTTTTAAGTGTTTTGTTACAATTGCCATAGCATCTTGGTAATTTTGTTGCATAACTCTTGGGCTTCCTGTAAAAGTAGAAGGTAAAATAACAATTTTTCCTGGTCGAGCATTTGCATCGGCAGCTTTGCCAACAACATAATCCATCAAACCTGTATAAAAATCAACTCTCATATTTTTTTGATTAGATCTATAGTATTGTAAATTGTTGCTTTCAATTTTAAAATAGGCATCTACAATATATTGTTGGATGAGTTTTCCAGCATGTAAAATTTAGTCATATGTAACTGTAGAGGTTGATAATGTTGAATCTCTTTTGGACAAATGATAGGCATAATATTGGAGTGTTACATGCTTGTTAGAAAAAAGCTTGTCATTCCAGGCTCTATCTCCATATGGAAAAAGCAATGGATAAACCATAGGATCACAATTAGCATTTAAAATAGATATATGTTGTGGTTCTAATGATTTTGGATGAATGCATATTTCATGGTCAAAAGGTGGCACACCATCTTCACTTTGGAAAACCATTGCAACATCATTAGTTTATAGAGCATTATATCGACGATGGTCTGTGCCTTCATTTTTAATAAGCATATAAACTCCACGTAAATTGCTATCAGAAATAATAGTTCTTAAAATATTTTCCTGTTCCAATTCATACATCATTCTAAAAGCTTGTGCATATAGATTAATATGTCGAAGTATCGTATCTAGTTGAAACAGTAAATTATAATCACAGTTAATGTTAAAAGGGTTTTGTTTTTTGATATCAGTAGCCTCATTGGAGTCTAGTATGTACAATTGACTGTAGCTTGGATTTTGATGTATTGAAGGATGTTATGGCATAATTTTGTGATAGATTTGTCCATGAATTCTATAGCAGTATGGACCATGACCTGTAAAAGTATCAATGCTAGCTCCCATAGACGCGAAAGCAAGTGCACTATTATATTGTCTTATATTACTCTTGAAATTAGAGTGTTTGTGTGAGTTATATACAGAATACAGAAAAGGTGGTAATGGAAGTATTGGAGGCAGGTAGACCTGTCCACTCTGGCAACAAATAGACTTGTTCTCATCGGCAAAGTGTGAGGCATGACAATACTTACAAATATATGATAAGGGACCTATATTCATTATCAAAACAGATGTATCATTATATAGGTAATTGCTAGCAAGTGTGTTGCGAATCTGAGGTGAAGGGGGCAAATAGGAATTGGAAATTGACTGCTGTTCATTGTGATTATTAAGATTTGTTTGATGTCGATACTCTGTATCCTCTTGAATATTACTGTTGTAAAAGCTATATGTATGCTAGTGCTAGTTAGTGTCTTCAATGTTATCATTGTACGTGGAATGTGTATGTCTATGTCGAATAGCATTCAGTACATGTCGAAGGCGTGACATTATTTTCAACAGTTTCTTTTGGAAATGGATATCAATTATTAGGGCAGATAGAAAGCAAAAGATATTTACTGAGGGGTATGGACAGGCATAAAAACTAACCTTTTCGATGCAATTGGGTGATGCCAAAAAAGAGCAGATTGATGTGTGTTACCTGATACAGTGTTTTCTCACAAGACTTACATTTTTTCTACCTCACTGTGAGCACCATGTTTCGTCCACCAAATTGGGATCTGTGAGGCGCATGTTCCAATTGATCAGCCCGGGAACTCGTGGAGCAGTGCGGCACCTCAGATCTGCGAGCTCGAATGGAGGATCATCCCATCGTGTGGCGGCAATTGCAGATGTAGATGTTGTCAGGCTTCACGTCCAGGTGAGCAAGGCTGTGCCGAGTGAATGTGCTTCAAAGCATTTAAGAGCTTAAATCGCCTCGTCCCATTTCCTGGCAGTGGAGTAAGAATGAAGATCATACAAATTCTACGCACCACAAATACCTTGCTTTGATGGAACTCCTCACAAATAACAACTTGCAATGGGGTTCTCAGCAGCAAAGACACCAGCATTGACACAGTGCCTCCGATTTAGATTGCGAATCGGCAGCAGCAGCAGGGGCTCTCTCGCCATCTCAAAAACCCTAGAAAAACATACAAAACAAAACCAAGCTGGATCACGACACGATCAAGCTCAAATCCCAGCCAGCAGCAACAATTTGGGAGTGGATTTGCTTACCTACCGGAAGAAATTGCGATCCACAGCACACTCCAAGGGCTGCGATGGACTTGATCCTACCCGGAGTGACACTGTGGAACAGCAATCTCCAGTCAACACTTTGCATGTGCCACGTGTTGCTAGGCCTTCTTTTCCCGCCACACACGGCTTGGCCACCTCCCATTGGCCGGGAGCAAACATCAGTGTGATTATTCGCTAACACGTGGTTAAAGAAATAACCCCTACCCCCCATCGGACGGCCCCGATTGGCCAGATCACAAAGTTCGGCATTTGCTCCTTATAGTAGTAGATATTTCTTTTTGCTGACAACTAGGAAATGTTAAATTGTTACTCTTAATTCTTCATGCCTTCATATTTTGATTGTCTCATGGAGTGAATCAGGCTAGGCCACAGCAAAGTCTTCATATTGGGGTTTTGTGGATTTTACCCAGGTATTTGACTTGGTGCCTCGCAATCTCCTCATTGACCTATTGCTCCAGCTCAACTCCGCTTGTTGTGGTGGTAGTGGAACTCTCTTCGTGATCTACATTGGGGGGCTTGAGACAATGATAAGGGCGAGAATCTTTTGATCAAGCACCAGGGAAGGCAAGAAAGCCCAAACCATGATCTTCATGCTGGATTCAATCTCCTGGAAGCCCAGGAATTTGGACTTAGAGGGAACAATCTCCATGAATCTTAACCAAGCTGGTAATTGTTTTATAGTTATAATTTATTTAATTAAAAATCACATCTTAAAAGCATAAAGAAGAGAATATCCATCCTCTTTAGAAACTTTGATTATAGATCAAGGCCATCGATGGCACGCATTTGCTAGGTGGAGGTATGTGATTTCGTTGAGAGGATCCAGAGTGAGAGCGTGTTGGGCTGCTCGAGCCCCGCTGTGGATCTGGTTGATCTGACTCATCGAGCTTCCCAGCAGGCACAGCCAGTCTACAGGCTGTGGCTCCGATGGCATGCCCTTGATCACACTCTCAGCAGCCGCTACATCTCCAGCTCTAGCGATGGCATCCAGGAGGCAAGAGTAGTGCTGTTTACTTGGTTGTAGATGGTGATCCACACCCATGGATCCAAAGCACCAGTAGCTCAGGCTAGCATCTCCCGCGTAGCTAAATCCAATGAGCATGTTGGTGAAGGTGGTCTCGTCAGGGCTTACACCCTCCATGGCCATGTCTTGCAAGAGCTGCCTAGATGCCTCCACCTGGCCTTTACGCGCATGGGCTGCCACCATGGCGTTCCACGACACCGTGTCTCGCTGCCACATCATCGCGAAGAAAGCCCGAGCCCGCTCCAGGTGGCAATGCCCGCAGTGTGCCGACAGCATGGCATTCCAGCACACCACGTCCCTCTCCGCCACGTCATTGAAGAGCTGGCACGCCTGCTGCACATGCCCAGATGCCGCAAGCCCGGTGATGGTGACGAGGCAGGACACCGTGTCCCATTCAGGCAGGCCATCCAGAAACGCTTTAGCGGCACTGGCCTGGCCACATCGGCAGAGCCCAGCCAGCATGGCATTCCACGTCACTTGGCTCCAACAGGGCATGGCATGGTAGAGACTCCATGCATGGTCAAAATGCCCTTCAACGGCATTTGCGGAAACTATGGCCGTCCAGCAGAAAATGTCAAGCTCTGGAGCTCGATCAAATACTTTAATGCTTTCTTCCAGTTTGTGATTTGCTGCCATTGCGAGTAACAGTGTTGTAAAGGAGATGAGATTGTGCTGGGGCATGGATTCGAAGAAACTTTGAGTGTCCCGCAAATGCCCGGCTCTGGCATAGACGTTGAGCATCGCAGTGGCGGAGACGAGGTCGTGTTCTTCCATGTCCTTCTGGTAAATCTCCCGGGCCTCGCTCACCATCCCCTCGCGCGCCAACGCCGCCAGCATCGCGGTGGAGGAGACGCCATTCCACTCGGGGATGGAATGGAAAACGTCCCGTGCGGTGCTGATCTCGCCTTGGCGCTGCGCGTACGCCGTGAGGAGGGCGTTCCATGCGACGAGATCGCGAGCGGGCATGGCTTGGAAGAGGTGCCGCGCGCCCTCCAGATCCCCGGCGCCGGTGTAGGCGGAGATGATCGACGCCCAGGAGAAGGCGTTCTTGGCTTCGTCCGGGATGAGGCGATCAAAGACGAGGCGCGCGCTGGCGATGGCGCCGAATCGCCCATACATCTGGACGAGGAGATTGCAAAGGAAGACGCGATTGCCATGGCGCAAGACGAGGCGGGATTGCGCGTCCTGGAGCTCGCTCACACTCCTACACGATCGAATGGCTAGAGCCTCGTCACTATCACGCATCTAAAGAATTGCACGGCTACGATAAAGCCACCTGTAGAATATGCTAGAATTTAAAACATTTTAACGGTAGCGATCAAACTTGCAGAGTAACATCGAAGCCCACGATTGTGGCTCTGTTGGTGTTCGATGTCGTGTTGAGTACTGCAAACCCTCGAGCCATTCGAAACTTTCCAGTGCCTCCGATCACCGCGATCTCGCGCTCCGCTAGCAGGAACCTGTCCGCGCCATGGAAGCTTATGGTGCTGCCATTCTCACTCCCGCGGCTAAACACCGCCGTGAACGTCAGGAGCAAGCTGGAGCCGTCCAGCGCGCTGATCATGTAAGTCCCCTGCGCTCTTCCAACCGGCTGTGACGCCGGCGAGGGGCCCTGGGTGAGCAGATCGTCGATCACCATCACCGCTCCAAATGCGGCTGTAGAGTTCGCGGAGCCCGCGACCCGGAGCACCGTCCTCGGCGAGAGATTGAAGTTGTCGTGCATATAGAACTGCATTCTGGAAGGCGCGGCATACCCCCACTGAGCTAGCAAGAAGATCAAGAGACCAAGCACTGCCGCTTGGAGCACCTCCATTCTCTCGACGACTTCGATCTGGACTGCCGCTCTCCTGAAAGCATGAAAAAACCAAGGGTGTAGAAACGTCTATAAAAAGCAGAAGAAAATCAAAGGTGGACTCACCAGTCAGAAGCGGGCACCACTGTCGCGCACTAACGAAAGAATGAGTCATAAAGAAGCGACTGGAAAGCGAGAAAGCGGGCGAGAAGTGGGAAATTATTTTACACGAATTTACCGTCAGAGAGCCTCCACCTTCCTCCTCACTGGAAGGTCAAGACCAACAAACCAACAACCTTTTTAGACGTTACCGACAGCCGATAACGCAGCACGCAAAACTCTAGCTCGCTTCTAGCTTAGCCGGATTCGTTGACCGGGATAGATAACATGTTTGTCGCGAATCTGTCACAAACCTGAAGCTCAGTCCGGGACTTCCACGAGTTTTACAAGCCTTACCTGAGGATTCAGACGATAGAAATTGGAGTTGGGGTCCTCCCATTCATCGGGAACGATGCTGCTCAAAGTTTCTCCCTTTTGCACAATGTGATACCTGCGGGGTTTGAGTTAAGAGTTATCGCTGCGTAGAAAGGCCAAACATGTAGAGTATACCTTTCTTTGATTTTGGAGGATCCTCTTCTACACGGGACAAAGCAGGAAAATGTTATACTTTGGATTTATATAAAAATACGACTACCTTGGCCACATAACGATGGCACCAGCTACAACAGCTGCTCCACTCAGGACCTGCGAGGGACCAGCGCATAAGATGGGAAGAAGTGAGAACAATTGATACACCTGCTTCACGAATTTCTTTACACCCCCGGACACCTTCCTATGGTTTGCCGGAGAAGATGAAGGAGAGGAACTGCCCGAGCTCGAACTCTTCAAACAATGCGAAATCACGTCAAGACTCAAAGAGAATTTCTTTTCCAACCTCTTGTTCCAGGCGTTTGGCCGTTGCAGCCATCAGTTCTGGATGTTGAGCCGCCGAACGTTCTCTCTCAATTCTGTGCTTCGTCCCGTGTTTTAGTGACCACCTTGTACCATGCTCTGATCCCGGAGGACTTGCATGCCTGACCTTGGAGGTACGCCTCCAAGGTCCCAGCTCCTTGGCTCGCCAATCCTCAAGCTTCTGTTTGACTGTTTTCTGCGAGTGCTTCACTTGATCGCGGAACTTCCCTTCCTCTTGCGAGTGCGTCTTCGATCTCAAGCCTTCCTGTTTACAGGATCCGGCCTTCTCACTCGATCGGTCTAGATTTTTTATCCACTCGTCTGCTTTAGCTGCTTTGGCAGACGTAGATTTGTCCATCTTAGTCTTCAGCTTCAAGTCCTCCAGCCACTTACTATCTTCTTCAGCTTTCTCCACACCAGACTCTGCCCTGTTCTCGTGTTGTCTTCTAGACAGCCAGTTGAAAATCTGCGATAAAGTTCCGAGTGAGATTCAAAAGAAAGAAACAGAGAAACGATACCTTGCGCCTGCTACTATCAGAATTAGAGTCGGCCTCAGCAACAGCGGGATTTGATGCTGGAGTTGCAGTGTCAGTAGCAGTGGGAGCTGTTACATCGCAATGTTTCGGAGGAAGATCCGGCTTCAAGGTAGTTGCCAGCTCAGGTTTTGGACCAGAACGTTTCCGTGATAATTCCTCAACCTTTTCCGTTCCACGGCCGGAAGCATCTTCGTCATCGGGCAGACCACTGCGAGTATCCGCTTTGGAGATCTCTTGTGGAACAGTATCCAAGTTTTCGGCCTCCTCGGAACTGATTTCAGTGATCTTAACGTTAGAGACAGGTGCTCGGCGAGACTTGAACGACTGACCGAGTCCTTTCCGTTTCTTCGTGGCTGCCAATCTCTGCAGATGAACAAGTTATGGAAGTTACCACAGATCCGTTTGTATACCATTGCTTCGATTTTTCTTCGCTCCTCCTCCGATAGCACGAAGCTGACTTTTACGTGTATGCGACCACCGGCTTTTAAAGCAATGAACGAATCCTGAAAGCCTTTCTGTACAATTCCAGGCGTCTCGAGTTCTAGAAAGAAGCAAGAGTTAGCAAAACTTCGTTCCCACTCCCCAAAGCTTACCAGCTCTAGCAACGACATCTCCTTTGCTATCCAATAAAGAAACCAGAAGGTTGTCCCGGAGATTAAGCACAGGACTAGAAAAAATCACGAAGCATGTTAAAGAGAGAAGTGAGCCACTCGAATGAAAACACGTACAACAGATACTCCAAGTTCCAAGGCTGCGTTCGACCATCTTGTGGCTCTACAGACGATGTTTGAAACTCTCGCCTTCCAACAGAAACTACATAGTGAGGAGTAAACAAACAAACGGTGAGAAGTGAGAACGAAGAAACGATGAAGTGAGGAACATCGGACCTTTCACAGCGACAGACTTCCCATCTGTTTATGAAAATATAGAACACCATAAGAAATCGGTGGAGGAAAGCTGGACGAATCAATTACCTGTGACAGTGGAAGGCAAGTCGATCGCTTCCAAAACTGCAAGCCACGAAAACAATAAATCACTCGAGCTGATTCTTTCAAAGAACAAAGAAGAAGAGCAAATAATCACCAGCAACACGTATGTTTCCTGGCATTTTTTCGCCAGACCCTTGTCAGTCAGCTGCTGGAATCGAAAACTTGTCTAGTGCTAGGCAAGAATGCACTACATCTGCTGCCATAAGCGACACAAATCCCAAGCGCCGGAGGAAAATGGGAGACGTGAATCGCCCACTTCCCCCTCTTTCCGATCATCCGCCGGCGCTCATGAGAAGCAACCTAAAACCTCGAATTCCCTCACGCGCGCGACGGCGCTGCTGGCAGAGATCCCTCGCGCCACCGCATCCACGCGCACCGACTGATCGCTCGATCTGCCCTAGCTCTGAGAAAAAATGGAGGGAGAAACAAAGAAAATGAGACGAATAGCGCCTTGACGGGTGACGGGCCACCGCAGCCGTAGATTCCCCCACCGATGGGAATATTCTCCGCGATGTCGGGCCTCAAATTTCCTGTGGTGGCTGTCAGCCGTGCCAAGCGAATGGTACTATAGATTTTTCTTTTCTCTCCTTTGTAAAGATCAACGTATTAATCAAAGGAGGATGGGGACAAAGGCGATCACCCAGAGGATCTTTTGGAATAATCTCGGAATCGTCTCGCTGCTAGAAGCACGGGGGGTAGCGCGTGGGAATTCTTCACTTTGGGCTGGCATTTGTCTTGACACTCAGAATCCATGTTACTTGTCACCATTATCTCCCACAGGAGGAAACCCTGTTCTTAGGGTTAGGGCTAATGTAACAATATAATTTTAAAAGGTGTAAAGTTCGAAATTAGGGCTATCAGAAGAATGTTTTTAAGGGTTTAAAGTTGGGAGTTTAGGGTTCTTATTTTAGGGCAGGAAGCAATGAGCGGGAGCCCGCTTCTGGAACCGATGAGAAGGCGCAAGTCTGGATCTCCAGCGGCGATGGTGGAATCGCTAATGCGCCCGGAATCGCCATTGCGGCCCAGGGTTTTGGCGCCGCTCTTCACCAATGTGGCCCTGTCCGAGGAGAGAGGTACGCGAGCTGCGACCGCTGGCAGCGACGATTGTTCCCAGAATGTGGATCCCGACGAGTCTCCATCCAAGGGGCTGTCGCCGCATTCTCTAGCAAGGCTTGTGCCGAAGGATGTGGCGAAGCTCGCAGCGTCCGGGAGAGGCCGGGATGCGCTGCTGGGTATGGTTGATCCGCAGCCCGACTGGACGCTGGGCGATCTCAGGGACGAGCTGGAGGAGCTGACGGAGAAGATGAGCGGGTCGCGGCTTCACGAGGAGGGGGACGTGCGAGAAAGTGAAAGCGTTCCTCAGCAACGGTATGGATCATGTCTTTAGTATTCGCGAATGAGCGTTGTGTTGGTGATCATATGTCTGTAGCTGGGGGCTGAGCGAAGAAGTAGCCGACTTTAACAGGATCAGCAAACCTTTCGTCATGCGGCTCGATGATGAAGACTTTGAGAGCTCGGATGACGATGACGATGATGAGGAGGAGGATGTGTTCAGTCAAAATGATCCGGGACGTGATAGACAAGCTCCTGTTGTCCACAACTCTTCAAGGTTGGTTGCGAGATTTACTTTTCTTCTCTTTCGTTTTTTTTGGTTTAAGGCAAAAATTCACAGCGTTCGACAGGGTTCTAACACATAAATCTCCATATGACGAAGACGCCATCTTCTTAACTACAAGCAAAGTAGAAGCAGCTCTTTTTGAAGCTGAGCGATTGAGAATTCTTCGAGTCCAGGTTGGTTTACACTCTTCTCTAATTGGTGTTGGACTAAACGTGATCTTAGGAGGAATTGAGACAAAAGAGGTTTCAATTAGAATCCGCTCTTTTGGAGGAGACACAACGGTCAGCTGAAAAAATTGCCCAAGTTATGAAAGACGAGGAGGCAAAATGCGAGATGACTCGTCGAAGTGACAAGCAGTACCAGCGCTTAATGTGTGTGCCTTCTCTTGTTTATTTTTCTGAACGGATATTGAAATGCGGTTTGGCAGTGCCGAGCAGCGTGATAAGCACCTATCAGCATTGCAGCGTGACCATGAACAACGTTCTCAAGTTGAAGAGCGGAAAATTAAAAAAGACGAGGAGGCACAGAGAAGAGAACACTCCGTTCGAGAAGAAATGGAACGGCAACAGAAAGCGAAGGCTGACGCAGAGGTATTCTTTTCAGGGTTTTAGCTTTAGGCGCACACTGACGAGGGGTTTAAAGATTGCAGCAGCTAAGGCGGCTGAAGCACAGCGAATAAGAAAACTGGAGGAACAAGTGGCAGCCGAAGCTGAAAAGAAACGGCAAGCCGAGGCTGCCCAGAAAGCTGAGGCAGACCGAAAGGAGAACGAAAGCGCGAAACCGTCGCGAGGAGCGCCTCAACTAAGAGTCTCAAAATCTGCAGCGGACAATGAGATGGGAAGAAAGAAGATACTCCAACAACTAAATGAAGCTTCAAAGTCATTGCAGGCGAATCCTGTGTTGAGGAAGGTAGAGTTGCTTTTTCTCTTCTGTTTTTTGGATGATGAGCAAATGGATGTTTTTCCCCAGAACCTCAAGGCTTTGGGATTTCAAATAGGTAAACTGTGGAATCAAGTTGCCGCTACAGAGGAGCAAGTGAGGTACAAAAACAACTGTAGTTTGATCGTCGTAATGCTTCTTTGTTTTGTTTTTGTTCTTGAAGAAAGGTGTCAATGGAGTTTTTGCAGCTGGCGAACAATCCTCAAAGCCAGGCATTTGTCGTTTCAACACTAGCGTCGAAGGTTTTACACATGATATCTCGAGTTTCACAGCCTGACGCTGTCGAATCTTTTGCTGGCAGCTTATGTCTCAGTGTGAGGCGCAGGTCTCAAGGGCCCCGTCATATGCCTATGTGTTCGCTCGAATCGTCGTTAACGTGTCAAGTCAGGTAAGTAATCTATATGGATGTTATCGAAACTGGACGTTTGTTTCTTGATTTCTTCTTGGTAGCTTCCGGTTGTCATGGACGCTGTTCTCGCGCAGCTGAATGTGGTTTGTATTTTGACTGTTCCAAAGTACTTCATGTACAAGAAGGTAACTTTCTCTAGCTTCTTTCTCCCCTGGTACTAACGGATGAGAATTGTCAGGGTGACTACGAGAGTGACAAGAGCTATTACAACATGCTAGGATTTCGCGAGGACGATTCTGGCACTCTGGAGACGGCAGATGATTACGTTGCACGGATGACTGCGTACGTAACTCTATATGCCGCCATCACGCAGACAGGAGGAGCAAACGGGCACGGCATTGCAAATGGATGGAAATGGTGCGCGCAACTCCTCAACCATCTTCCCGCAAATCGCTACAGCGCGTCCGCTTTGTTTGCTTTTCTCGAGGTTGACTGCTTTTTGTGCCATAAGTCTTTACTTTTTTTCTTTCTTTTGGTGTAGACTGCAGGATTCCGGCTCTACCAGTCGTATCCAAAGCCTTTCATGAAGCTGATGAACACCATCGTGACAAGATTCGTTCCACTGCTCCAGAAGCACAACGATCCGGATGCTCGCTCCGTGCTTAACCGGCTCGAGACTTACCTGGGAACGAAACAGTTCACCAAAAGGCCGAAAGACGAGCTCACACAGCAACAAACTGTCTCGGCAATCGCTCTCAAGGAGGCGTCGTGGTATTAAACGAGGTACACATTTACAAAGAGGAGGAGAAAAAGGAGAAACGAGGATACCGAAGTAGGAAAAAAAGGAGAACCGAGGAAACTAAGCGAAGAAGGAAAGAACGACCTCCCCTTAAGCCGATCTCCAGCCAAAGTGGCTCACGATTGCGAAGTAGAGGCAGCTGAGGCCGATGTAGAGCTTCATCCAGAGGCAGGAGGCGACGAGGTATCCCAGGACGAGCGTGAACGCCGCTACTCCGGTGAAGTTTACCAGGGACTTGCTCGTCGGGAGCTTGTCCTCGATGCTTCCTCCGGGAGAGAAGTAACCCTTCTTGATGAAGGAGCTGAGGAGCTCGTCCTTGCGCTCGTACGCCTTGTACAGCCACGACGAGCACCCGTTTGCATCGGAGGGGATTTGCTCCACGGGTATGCGCCGGATGTGAATGTGGACTTCGGATGGATCGATTCCAAACAGGTTGTCGATGAAGAGAGGGCAGCGGTTCTTGTAGCCGATCGTGAGATCGTAGACTGGAAAAAAAGAAGAAAGAAGTTAAACTTTAAAGCCAAAGTTTTTGGATGGATGATGCTTGCCTGCGTCGAGAGAGCTGCCAAGGTTCTTCACGCACGATTGGAATCCTTTGGTCTTTGGCATGAGTACGTGATTGAGCTTGCGCAAGCCTTTCTTCTCGGCGAGTTCCTGGCCAGCCAGCTTCTTCTGCTCCCTGCGCGTGTCGATCGATCAAAACGTTACTCGAAACAAAGAAGGAAAACACAGGAGAGAAGAACTTACGTGTAGTCAGTTCCTTCCGGGAAGAGGATCAACCAGAGAGGATCCCTGGCGTCCTTGAAGCTCGAGAGATAGCGCTCCATGAGGGGCTCGTCCACTTCCCACTTCCTCTCGATGAGGAGAAACTCCATCACGTAGAGCGCCCAGCCAAACACGGGGAGATCGCGGACGCTGTTCTTGACCACGTACTTGACGTGCCCAATCCGGCCCTTGCGCAGCGCCAGGTTCCAGATGTACATCCAATCCACCTCCGTCCTGTGGTTGCAAATCACGATCGCCCTCTCGCCGCCCGGGACGCGATCGCCCGAGAAGACCACCCTCGTCTCGTTGATGTTCTCGAAGAGGAAGGGCCACATTGCGAGCCAGTGGCCGAAGAAGAAGGCGACGAGCTCGCGGCTGTGGTGGCGGCTGAAGATCCGGACGAGGACGCAGCAGAATGGCGCCAGGAAGATGAGCATGAAGAAGGCGGTGGAGAGGAGGACGAGGAGGCACGCCAGGCCGCGGACGATCCGGAGGGGAGTGAGCGGCGCGTGGCGGGGGCCCTGGCGGAGGAGGAGCTCGTTTGGATCCGAGGGAGAGAAGGACGAGTAGCCGCTGCCATCGCCGCCATTGACAGACGCCTCGCCGTCGCGGATCTCGTCCGAAATATTGCCGCTCGTCACCGCCGCGGGCGTTCTTGCGCGATCCTGCTCGCCATTGGCGCTCGAAAGCGGCGGATTGCGATTCATTCCCCGGCTGCGGTGATGCGCGGGAAAATTCTATGCCAATTCTAGCGCCGGACTCACCGATCGGGGGAGTGGACGATTCCCGCGCCTTGCGCTGCCGCCGCCACTGCCCGGACCTCCGTCCTTCATTCCCAAAGAACGAGGGTAAAAAGCTTCGGGGGTCCACATTTCTTACGACCTCAAGAACCCTAAGGACAAACGAACACGTTAAAGCATATTCCCACATCCAGTCAAAGGCCAGTCAAACTTGGAAAGGTTATATGTGTGAGGTGGCATGCCATGTGCTAATGTGCCAATGTTTCAAATGTTAGGTTGCAAATTTGGACCATCCAAGGGTTATCTACCACGTCACTGACGAATGTTCTACAGGAAGTGATTTATAAACGGGCACAAACATTATAAAGTGGCACCAGTTCCAGCAGTCAAGAACATCTCACATGCACACTTTAAACACAATTATTATAAGAAATCTCCTCATTTAAAACCAAATCTCGTCTCTTATTAGAAAAGATCCACAGGAATATCCCGGTCAATCTAGTGAATTTGGATTTGGGCTTGGTCATTGCGAAGCTATTTCCATGGCATCTTGCCTCGGGCTTGCTTGCATTACTTACGTAGCTGGGTCTTGATTCCGTTTTCCCTGTGATCGCGGTGTCCAGGATATCATTTTCAATGAGTTTTTCGTGGCAAGCGTGCCAACTCAGCGAAGTGCACGATCAGTTCTTGGACGGCCTTGTTGGTAAGGATCTAGGGTTATGGGATCTGTGGATGATCCGGTAAGCAAATCGAAGGGAGGAGAGGAAGTATCTGTGGAAAGAAAGCAAGAAGCTGCGGCAGAAGAGGAGCAGCTTGCCTCGTTGAACAGAGTAAGCACTCGGCTGTGCGTGACTTGCCCTGACCTTCGCTAGAGAGTCTGCCTGTTTTGTGCCAATAATGGGGGCCTGGCTGTTTATTGTTGTGATATGTCGATAGGCGTTTCAAGTTTTCCTGAGAGTTTGCTCAGCTCTGCTCCCTTGAAATGCCGTTTCAAGTTCTCCTGAGAGTTTGCTCAGCTCTACTCCCTTGAAATGCCGCTCTGTGTTTTGTAGAGAGCGGCTTGTACCAGTTATTGTCTGATCTGTGCATTCGTATATTGTACCATCCGGTGTGGCGGCCCTTGCAAGGCTACTGATACTCCAGATTCTAAATTCTGGATTGGAGGCGATGCACTGTGAGAGATTATAACTGATCTTTTCTGCTTGAAAGGAGTATGCGGTCTAGAATTCAATCACTAAATTATTTGGCTGGGCCAATAGGGCATGAAAAGGTGCTATACAAGGTTGGGGAGCTTGTTTACATCTTGAATTTTCAAAGGCAATGTGATGAAGGTGGTAATCACAATATTATAGAGAAAATGCTGGATGAGCCGTGAATGTGGCTAGTGATAGACAGGAAGCAGAAGACACCTTTAATTTGTAGCTGTCAAGTTCTTTTGGTTTCCTCAACTATTGATGGAATGTTCCAGCTTCCCTCCAGATCGTGACTTTTGGTTAGTTTTACTTTGTCTCTTCTACTTTTTTATGTGTGAATAAGAGAGCAATGCCCATATATATATATGTGAGTGCATGGAATATAGAAAAGGAATACAGAAATGTGCATATCAATTAGCCCAAAAACTATAGCTTATATATAGGAGCGAGTGGTCCGGATTGAAACCAATCCGACGGCTACTAAAATCCCACTACGCTAATATTAGTATATGGCATCGTAGCCATACACTTGGCCCTCACATCATCCCTTCCTCTCGGAATAATGGAAGGCCGTCAGGATTCTCTTGTAGATGGGCCGGGATTTGGAAGAACATCAGGAGGAAGCATCGGTGAATTTGTAGACGGTATTAACTGCTCCTGATCCCTTTGTATGAAGTGTTTTAACCGCTGCACATGCACAATCTCCAGAGGATCGATCTGCTGAACGTCATGCCGAACCTCATAAACTTGTGGTCCAACTTGCCGCAACACCCGATACGGTCCTTTCCACTGCCCAAGGAGCCCCTTAGATAAACCACGGACCGTAAGATGGGGAAAACGGACTAACACCAAATCATCCACTTTGTACTTCGCAGGTGGACGATGATAGGAATTGTAGCGTCATTGTTGTCCCACTTGTATGCGGCCTAAGTGTTCAGCAAACTCTGCTCGGACAAGTGGAAGAATGCTTGTCAAATATTGATCCCATGACCTAGCATCAGGAGCTCGTGGCAATCGCGAAGGTAAACCCAGCTCTGTTGGTAATATTGGATCATGACCATATAGAAGTTTATATGGTGAAGCACCAACAGAACTCTGCACCCCTGTGATATAAGCATAGCGAAGAGACGGCAAATAACCATCCCAATCCGAATGCTGAAAGTTCACATATTTCGCAATCATCCCTTTGAATGTTTAAACGAGCCGTTCCACCAGACCATCTGATTGTGGATGATAAGCACTCTTAAAAGTGTGGCGTATCCCCAACCGAGATGTCAAAACATGAAATACCTCAGCCATAAATGCAGGACCATTATCCGAAAGAATCCGCTCTGGACAAGAATGCTGGAACACCACTCGATTGAGGAGGAAGTATCCAACAGCAGTTGCAAAGGCACTAGCAAGAGCACCAACTTCCACCCAACGAGTCAAGTAGTCAAAAGCAATAATAACATACTCATTGCCAGTAGTCGATCGTGGAAAAGGTCCCATAAGATCAAATGCCACCAACTCAAATGGACGAGAAACTGCAATTGACTCCAACCGTCCTTCCGCAACACAAAAAGGAGTATTACGAGCTTGGCACCAAATGCAGCTACGCACATATAATATCACGTCACATCTCTGGCCAATAGAAAGATCTACGCAGCTTTTCGGTGACACGACGGTGTCCCATATGCCCACCTAGAACAGGAGAATCATGGTAGGCATGGAGAAACCGTGGAATAAACACCGAAGGCACCACTAGCCGTAAATGATCATTAGGATCTATCCCCACAAAATAAAGAAGGCCATCTTCAAGGCGATATTGAGAATGTAAATGCCGGAAAGGCAAGTCATCAGCAAGTGATGCAGGATTCTCAAACCCATCTCGAAACCTTCAAATCCACAGCTCAATCTTTTGAGCCTCGCGAACCTCATCAAGAGAAGGTAGATCTTGCTCTGCGCCCTGTGGACACTGAACGTCAAGGACAGCAACCGCCGACGGCACAGAATCCTCATCTAGAAAATCCACAGATGCTGGAACAACAGGTTCGTCAGAAACATGAGAAATGAGTGGAGAAGGAAGAGGAGCTCGAGAAAGGGCATCAGCATCAGCCATAGAACTCTCTGGGCGATGAACAACATCGAAATCATATATCTAAAGCTTCAAAGCCCATCGAGCCGTATGACCAACCAGGTTCTTCCGCTTCAATAATGAAGTAACAGCAACATGGTCATCTTCAAGTAACGTCCGAAAACCATGTAGATATGTATGAAGTTTCTCGAAACCCCAGACTGCTGCTAAACACTCCTCCGTCGTGGAGTAGTTCATCTCCGCTGGTTATAATGTACGGCTTATGTATGTAATGGGATGGCGCTGACTAGGCACACTCGAGCTCTCTTGCATCAACACACCTCCAAGACCAATGTCAAAAGCATCCACGCGCAAAATAAAAGGTCGAGTGTAGTCAGGATATGCCAAAACCGGAGGAGTCGTCAATAGCTCTTTGAGATTCACGAACGCCCACTCATAATCCGGAGACCAAATGAAAGATGACGTTGATGACTTCAGCAACGCTCGCAATGGTATAGTGCGATCGGAAAGATGATCCACAAAACGACCGAGATACTACACCTTACCCAAAAAGCGCTGCACATCATTCACACATTTCGGAGTAGAGAACTTCAGAACAGCCACAAGTTTGTCAAGATCAACTTGCAAACCCTCACGAGAAATACGGTACCCAAGATAAGTTGTGTCCTTGGACCCAAACACGCACTTTGACCGCTTCAGCTTTAAACCAACGTCGCGTAGCCGATCCAACACTTTACAAACATCACGAACGTGCTCCTCCCACGTCCCCTCCGAGTGGATCAAGACATCATCAATGAAGTCAGCCGTCATCTCTGGCATATCGCAAAGAACCTTGTCCATCATCCGTTGAAAAGTTGCTGGAGCATTGTTCAAACAAAATGGCATTACCAAGAACTCGTACAAACCAAATGGTGTATGAAAAGCAGTTTTAGGAATATCTTCTTTGGCCATCGGTACTTGCCAATACCCAGAAGCAAGATCTAGCTTGGTAAACCAACGATTTCGCCCCAGACGATCCAAGAGATCAGCAGTGTGAGGAAGAGGGTACACGTCCGGGATCGTCACTTCATTTAACAGACAATAGTCGATGCAGAAACGAATACTCCCATCAGGTTTCGTCACAAGATGAGGTTCACATGCCCAAGGACTCTGCGACTTCCGAATAACACCCTTCTCCAACATCTCCTTGACATTTGCACGTAAATCTTGATCTCCTTGGGTGACCGACGATGAACAGGAACCTTGATTGGACGAGCATCCCCTGTTGGAATGGGATGACGTGTGGCAATCTTGGCCCCAAACGATAGGTCAAATTCAAAGATATTATAATACTCCTTCATGAGCTGGTCAACAGCTGCAACACAAAGATTATCGGAGGGATCAGAAAAGGGAAGAGCAGAACAAGATGGAAACACAAGAGGAAACAGTGGGGAAACAAAAGTAATGGAAGCAGAGGTAGAAGTAGAGGGACAAAGAGGTACAGAAGTGAGAGGAATGGATGAAACATAAGGAAGTATGAGACAAGGGGGAGAAGCCTCAAAATCACACTTGGCATGATTGCGCTGCAACCAATCCATACCAAGAATGAGGTCAAAAGCTTGACTCGGCACCACCCGCAACGACTGCAACTCAAGCTCGAGATCGCCCACACGCACAACCAGGTCCGCCTCATCTCGTGCACTGTAAGGAACCAACTCGCCGAGGTGTCGTAGGCTAAGGGAACCCCGAAAGCATGACCAAAATGACAAAGAGTTCATCGGATGGGACCAAGTCAAAGATCGAGTCCAAGACCGACTCTAGGACCGAGTTCGAGATAGAGTCCGGAATCGAGCCCAAGACCGACTCGGGGACCGAGTTCGAGTCCGAGTTCGAGACCGAGTTCGAGACGGAGTCCGAGATCCG